CCTCCCAAAGGTGCGGGATTACAGGCTGAGCCACCGAGCCCGGCTTGAGATCACCTTTTGATGACATTCTCAGCAACCTCAAGGAAGAAACTGAGGCTGAGCTCTGGGGTAAAAGCACAAGGCAGGATTAAGATTTTAAGAGCAGAAGGAGTCAGGCACAGTAGCGCACATCTGTAATCTCAGCACTTTGGGAGACTGAGGTGGGAGGATGGCTTGAGCCCAAGAGTTTGAGACCAGCCTGGGCAACTTAGCAAGACTCTATCTCTACAAAAAAAATCATGATGGCACACACCTGTAGTTCCAGCTACCCAGCTACTCAGGGGGCTGAGGTAGGCAGATTAACAGAGTCCAGGAGTCTGAGGCTGTGGTGAACTGTGATTATGCTATTGCATTCCGGTCTGGGTGACAGAGACCCTGACTCAAAAAAAAAAAAAAAAAAGGAGCAGAAGGAGGATGACATTTACTGAGCATGGCCCATAAGCCCATGTAGTAACACCCATCTTCAGGACATAAAAATTAGCTTTGCCCCTATTTTTATAGAAAAAGAAAACTGAGGTTCAGAAAAGGCTGAAGACAGTGACTCTCAGACTGAGACCGTGGGTCTAAGAGGATAAGCAGGGACAAGACTGGGAAGGAAGGGTGGAAGCGTAGAAAGTGGCAGGAAATGGCTCCTGCGAAGGCTCATGGCCCCAGAGGCCCAAGGTCACTCAGTTCACCCAGCCAACACAAGGTCACTGCACCTGGCTGGGGGCACAGCACCAGGACCTCATGGGCAGGCAACTATGCTTTAGAAAGTGAGGTCTGGCTCACGCCTGTGATCCCAGCACTCTGAAAGGCTGAGGCGGGAGGACTGTCTGAGCCCAGGAGTTCAAGACCAGCCTGGGCAACATGGAGAGACCTTGTCTCCACAAAAAATCAAAAAACAGGCCGGGTGTGGTAGCACATACTTGCAGTCCCAGTTACTTGGAAGGCTGAGGAGGAAGGATCGCCTGGGCCCAGGAGGTTGAGGCTACAGTAAGCTATGATTATGCCGCTGCACTCCAGCCTGGGTGACAGAATGAGACTTTGGCGCAAAAAAAAAAAAAAAAGGAAAGAAAAGAAAAGAAGAGACTTTCCAGACAATCCAAAGGGCATAAAATAAAGGGGTCAGCACATCCTCCCTGCCAGCCTGGTTAGGTGAGCTGGCGATCACTCTCGCTTGGGCCCATCTCAGTGTTGTCCGTTTCTCTATAATAAACAGGCTATAAATGAAAAAACAGGGCCTGTCTCAGGAGACCTGTCCTGGGCTGTGTGGTGTCCGCCCGCCTTCTCACCCCACGGCCCTGCCAATGCTGTTTCCTAGAGGCCCACCTGCCTGAGCCCCAGCCCACTGTCTGCATCACCCCTTCTCTCTCCTCCCTCACAGGCTCATGGTTCTCTGTACCATCAAGTGCCCACTGTGGACCCAGCCCTGCTCCAGGTCTTACCCAAAGCTCCCTGCCTTCACCAAGCTTGTGTCCTAGCATGGAGACACACAGGGAATACACTGAGGAATGTCGGTGTTGACGCATGTTACAAAGGAAATTAGGTGGGGTATGTGGGTTATCAGACAAGGCTCATCTGATGAGACATGCAAATGAGGTTCAAATTAAGGGGAGAAGCAGCCACACCATAGCCAGACGAGCCCTCCAGGCAGAAGGACAGCAAGTGCAAAGGCCCTGAGACAGGGAGCACACCTGGCAGGTTCCCAGAGCCACATGGAGGTCAACACACTGAAATGGGAGCTGGGCTCAGACACTCTGGGTAATTCTTTGAAGCTCAGCTCACACAAGCAGCCTCGGGCTGGCTGAGGTGGCCCATTGGGTGCTCCACAGCCCCGAGTGTGTCTTCCTGTTGTCATATAGCACATACTGCGCTGTCACTAAACACGTGTGGACTGTATGAATGAACAGCACGGCCCACCCTACCTCATTAATACCATTGGGGTCTTCCCTCAAATCTGGGACTTCCTCAAGGGCAGGAGGCTGTCTCACACATCACAGGGTCCCCAGTGCTGGGCATGACAGTCTTACATGAGAAGTATCATCTCCAAGCAGCGAGAGGCCCATGGAGCCACGGAAGTCTTTGCGCATCTTTCCTAAGCCAAGAGCTCACCAAAGACATGCAGGTGAGTCCCCTCAGGGAGCCACCCATCAGCAATGAGACGTCATGGATGAGACCCATGGGAGGCAGGGAGTGGATGAGACAGAGGGGGAGGGAAACCCCCCCCCATATTTCCAACATCTGCCTCAACCTGCGCTATCTCCAACTGTTCATGGCATAGCTGAGCCGCTGCCTTTAGGCTTTCCCTAAAGCCCACATGGAAAAATAAACACATAAAACTGCTGGGTGCAGTGGCTCACACCTGTAATCCCAGCACTTTGGGAGGTCACAGCAGGAGTATCGCTTGAGCCCAGGAGTTCGAGACCAGTCTGGGCAACATAGTGAGACCACGTCTCTAAAACAAAAAATAAAAAACATAAGACCAATTCATCAGGTAGTTGTTATTCATAGGTAGCAAACACCATACCCTCTGAAAGAGGTTCCAGGAAATGTCAGCATCCCACATGAATGAGCAGATCCAAGTGTTGGTCACCTTGTGGCTCGAGTCAGCAAATGAGACAGCCAGATCTCCTGTGTCTAGTGGGAGTATACCTCTCTGGAGTAGAAAAAGGCCTACAAGGCCAGGCAGACACTGGAAATGAGAGAAGTAGGCTGGCTAGGGCCTGCAGCAACTGGAGAGACCACAGAGAGCCTCTTGGCCTTGCACAGGGCTAGAACAAGGGACCCTGGGCAGCTAGATCAGGGAAGCCAGAAATCTGGGGATCTTCTGTGGACTCACCAGTTTTAAAATGATGCCAATTTAGAAAAAATAAAACAATATGCAAAACAAACACTTCTATAGGTCAGATTTGGCCTGGGGACTATCAGTTTGTGAAGTTGGCCTTGGATCTTGAACATGAAATATTTTTGTATTGGAATAGATAGGACAGAAAATACAGCAAGAGGACAAAGACACCTAAACATTGTAGAGCCAGAAGGGAACTTTGAGATTGTGGAGTTCCTATGTGACCAAAAGGTTTCATCTCGGAAATCAAGTCTAGTGGCTACCCAGCTGCTGAGGCTGACACTTGACTCAGTGTTCGAGTGCTGAGATAGATTAGCAATGTCTGTCAAGGACATGGGAACAGCAACATTAGCTACGTACTTTCTGGATATACACCAAAGCTGATTTAGTCTAGGCCCATTTTCTTTTATTCATTTTAATACAGGCAAAGTTTCACTACGTGGCCCAGGCTGATTTCGAACGCCTGGGCTCAAGCAATCTTCCCACCTTGGCCTTCCAGAGTGCTGAGATTATAGGTATGAGCCACCAGGCCTGGCTCAGGCCCATTTTAAAGGCAAAAAACTGATGTCCAGAAAGCTGCACTGAATTGCCTAATGTCACAAGAACCACAATCCTATAGAATGCTCTTCCTATGATGCCCAGACATCCCTAAGCTCAGGCTTTTGGGGTTGGGCTGTCATCTACCAAAGACTCACCTTGGTGGGAAGCCATCTCTAAACCAATCATGAATGCCAGTAAGAAAGCTGGATTTTTACAGTGGTTCGTCTTATCCATGGCTTCCTAGAGACAGCATCTTTTTTTTTTTTGAGTTGGAGTCTCACTCTGTCGCCCAGACTGGAGTGCAGTGGCCGCTCCCGGCCACCGCAGCCTCGATCTGCTGGGCTCTGGCGATCCTTCCGCCTCAGCCTTCCAAGTAGCTGGAATTACAGGTGCGCGCTACCACACCCGGCTGATTTTTTGATTTATTGTAGAGATGAGATGAGGTCTTGCTGCCCAGGTGGGTCTCGAACCCGCAGGCTCAGGCAATTCACACACCTCAGCCTCCCAAAGGCGTAGGATTATAGGCTGAACCACCGAGCCCAGCAAGACAGCATCTTTCCTAAACAGCAAGGGGCGTGAGCCCCGTTGAAGCCATCCGAGGCTGTGGCCTCTAGCACACGCACTGTCCCAGTTGGGGGCCCTGAGCTGGCAGAGGGGCTGGCAGCAGAGGGAGCCCAGGCCTGCCAAGAGCCGAGAGCCGAGAGAGAGAGCACGGCTGCCTTCCAGCTTGGCTGTCCCCTCCCCTTCGGGTGAGTCATGGCCTGCGACCTCAGTGTGCTAGCTGCGTAGTCCTCAGTTTTACTTGGCTCCTGAGCAAAATGTACTTTTCCAAAGGCCACTGATTCAACAGAGCCTGAATTTTGCAATTCCCTGGCAGGGGTGAGGCCAGCCTCCTTGAGCACAAGCTGTCCTGGGGAGTGGGGACCAACGAATGCAGTTACCACCCCCCTCACCTCTTCCTTCCTCCTCCCCTTTGGCCTCTGTGGGTCACCTAACCACCACCATTGCCTCCCTCAGGTTCCCCACACAGGGCACGCTCCTGGGTTGGATTTCAAATGACAGCTGACAGGAGGCTTGGAAGAATGGCTGGAAAAGATGAGCCCCTGCTCACCCCACCATGGAAGCCCTTGCACTCTGCAGAGCCATGCACCCTTTACTCCACACTGGAACTAGGAAGAGCAAAGCCCAGTGAGAGCTCAAGCACCAACAAGTGCATCCCAGGCCAGTACTTTTCTCTCTCTTTTTTTTTTTGAGCGCCCAGATTGGAGTGCAGTGGCACGCTCCTGGCCACCGCAGCCTCAACCTGCTGGGCTCCGGTGATCCTTCTGCCTCAGCCTTCCAAGTAGCTGGAACTACAGGCATGCACTACCACGCCTGGCTGTTTTGATTTATTGTAGAGATGAGGTCTTGTCAAGTTGCCCAGGCAGGTCTCAAACCTATGGGCTCAGGCAATCCACTCACCTCGGCCTCCCAAAGCACTGGGATTACAGGCTGAGCCACTGAGTCCAGTCACTTTTCTCTTTAAAGAAAAAAAATAGACTTTTGTTTATTTTTTTGAGTCAAAGTCTCACTCTGTTGCCCAGGTGCAGTAGCAGGCTCACAACTCACCACAGCCTCAGCCTCCTGGACTCAGGAGATCCTTCCACCTCAGTTTCCCAAGTAGCTGGGACTATAGGTGCACACCATCACGCCCAGCTAATTTCTTAATCTTGTGTAGAGATGAGGTCTCAATATGTTGCCCAGGCTAGTCTCAAACTTCTGGGCTCAAGCGATTCTCCCACTTTGGCCTTCCAGAGTGTTGGGATTATAGGTGTGAGTCACCGCACCCAGCCCAGACTACTGTTTAGAGCAGTTTTAGCTTTACAGCAAAATCGAGATGGTCCAGCGATTTCCCGTCCCCCCACCCCCATGCAGGCTCGGCCTCTTCAACCATCAACATCCTGCACAGGGGGAGGATTCGTTACGCCCTATGAACCTACACCGATACACCAGTATCACCCAAAACCCAGGGTTTACACTGGGGTCATTGCTGGTGTTGGACGACCCACCATTATTACAGCATCTCAGGGAGTCTCGCGCCGAATCTTTGCTTCACCTCCTCATCCTTCCCTCACTCCAGCCCCAGGCAACCCTCTTACTGCCTCCACAGTTCTGCCTTTTCTAGAATGCCCTATCGTTGGAATCACATGGTGAGCAGCCTTTGCAGATGGGCATTTTTCACTTAACAGTCAGCATCTAGGGCTCCTCTGTGTCTAGGCACAGCTTGACAGCTCGTGTCTTTTCAGCGCTGGGCAACGTGCCATCATCTGGACGGACCAGGGTGTCTGCCTTCAAGCCCTGGGTATTGTCAGAGCCAGGGGCTCCGCTGCTCATGCATTGGCTGCCTGATTTGGGACATATTTTTCTCTGAACCTCTCATTTTTCATCTCTGGGGAGTGAGGACAAAATGCAGAAGTGTGTGTGGAGCACCGGTGGCAGCACATGGCATGGAGCAGGTACACGGTGGATGTAAACTGGGCCTGTCACCATCACCAGCACTTTGGCCATTGCTACACTCATGAACTTTCGTGTGTCTTCTCTCCCCTGCAGAGCAGCATGGGAAAAGTAGAGGCATCCCAGGCTCTGGGTTCAAATTCTGACTCTGCTCAGGCAACTGACTAGACCTCATCTGTGAAATGGGGAGGGGACTACGTCTGCCTCCTAAGGCAATTTTGAGAAACAAATGAAATCACAAATGAGTGCAGAAAGAGCCCTTGGCACCCAGGAGGGCTCTCCATGAGGAAGAGGCCTTGGTGTTTCCTGTGAACAGCCTGGCGGAGAGAATACGGGTGGGGGGTGCCAGGGGGATGGAAGCTGCAGGCGTATCTGAGGATGTGGCAGGGAGTCTGCTGGCCAGTGCCAGGTAGAGGGGCTGTGGGGAGAGACCAGTGCCAACCTGCCCTGCCCAGCCCAGTGGCCGCCGGTGGCCAGGAGCAGGGTGGCAACAGCTCTGCAGCCGGCCAAGGCCTGCCTGCTGTCTTCTTGGCGTCAAATGACAGCAGAGGGCTGCAACCGTGAGGCCAAGGCCAGCCCACGGGTGTTCTTATGGTCTCCAAGGGCAGAAGGAGGGACATAGGGAATGGTTACGGGGCAGTCGCAGCAGCTCATGTGGGCTCCATGGGACTGCCGGAGGAAACAGGGACTCCGGGCTCGCCCACAAATCGTCCTAGGCCTTTCATCCAAATCAGCCCCACCTGCCTGGGAGGCCACCACCCCACAGGGTCCAGAGTGCTCCCCGCTCCCCGACCACACAGTGTCAGTGACCCGGGAGAGGGGAACTGCCAGAATCCCCACTCTCCAGGTAAGGAAGGTCACAGTTGCCCGAGATGACACTGCCAGGAAGCTCTGGGTCTGGGACTCAAACCCTTGGCCTTCAGAGCTCCCATGGCCCAGAGGCTGGCAGGGTCTGTGGAGACTCCACCCAGACACGGCGGTGCCTCTGCTTTGTTCTATCATGCTGTGTTCACACATTCATTCAGCAGCCGTTCCACAAGCATCATTCATTCATTCAGCATTAGCCCTGAGGCATCATTCATTCATTCACTCATTCAGCAGCTGTTCCACAAGCATCATTCATTCATTCACTCAGCATCCGTTCCATAAGCATCGTTCATTCATTCAGCAAGCCTCACTGCCACCTACTCTGCTTGTGCCCAAAACAGGAAC